AACACACCCAAGGATTTTGCTTTCGCAACGACTTGCATAGCCCCCAAGCCGTGTGCAGCCTCACCTGGCGCAGCAGTCTGAGTCGGCTGCTGTCCTATGTGCAGCAAACGTGTCTTGGTGGGGTTCGAACACTGGCCAGAGGCTTTTGCAAAGTCAGACATGCATGAGAGAAATGGAACATCGTGCATCGACAGCAAAAACACTTCAGCGTCGTCAGCGTACTGCACAGCTGCAAGCTGCTGACTTGCTGCCATGATACCAATGCCCCGCTGCTTGAGGAAGCATAGTAGCGCTTGCCCCACAAATAAGTACAACAGGGGGGCCAAGGGGCAGCCTTGGCGCACCCCAGCATCACAACGGTAAAACGGGCTGCAAAATCCGTTCACCGTAGCACAGGTATGTGCATCAGACAGCAGCACACGCATCCATCCTACAAACCCGTCACCTATGCCAAGTGCTGCTGCCACATCATACAACAAAGATCTATCCACAGTGTCATATGCCTTGGCAAAATCCGTGAAACCAACCACTGCCATTTGCTGCTGTTCATGCATCAGTGCAGGTAGCAACTGCAACAGCCTGATGCTATCCCCTATGTGCCGATGTTGTAAGAATGCAGACTGCGCTGGATGCACAACCTCCCCAGCAGCTGCAAGCAAACGGTTGGCAAGGATTTTGGCCAGCACTCAGCACACCCAGGCATACACGCACCTAATTTTTGATTGAGGAGAGTTACATGGGTGTGCACGTCGGAAACGGAACACTTCGAGGACTGCAGCGCGCAGGACACGAGAATAAACCACAAAAAGCCTCAGAGAAGCAATGTGCAGCTTCCTCACCCAAAATAACACAAACTCTGCGCAGAGAAAAAGCATCAGGACGGAACAAAAGGTGTCAACGTCAGCGAAATAGGATTGGAACATGCAGACATGGCAACAACTAGCAGGTACTGGGCACCTCGGTGCTCCTGCTTCAGGTGTTAAAGACATTGCACAACATGATGATCAACATGATCAAAACTCTCTGCTACTAGGACGCGCACAAAGCAACAGCATAACCCGCAGCGCCGTGGCACCACAGGCACCTGCCACCCTACTGATGTGTCTGGCAAGGCCACACCCCTGGCAATGGCACCTGCCCAACACACCTACTGGCTCACACAGGCTGCATGAGAGTACTAACAGCACAAGACATGCAACCACATGTAGCAAAACGGATCAAAGAGCAGAGGATGCAAGAAATAACCCCAATTCATGCTATGACGCAGAGGCCAAGTCCCTTCTTGGTGCTAGCTGCAGCCGGCCTTCAACCACGCGTAAAAAGGGGTGATCAGCTGGCACAATATCCAGCCAGGTCAAGGGTGCCGTCTTGATGACTATGAAGTCAACCAGCAGCTCCCAAAACCTAGCCACCGCCGCCTTCTTCTTCGTCTGCACCAGCTCATCAAGCTCCTGCTGTCGCCGCTGCTGAAGCTGTAGCTGCTGCTGCTCTCTGTGCTGCCTCACTGCCTCATTATGAGCCAGTTGCGCAGCTGAGGGAGTAGCAGGCTGCAACAACTGAGTGATAAGCTGCTGGTCAGCAGGTGGCGCCCGGGCAGGGCCACCTGCTGGACTGGCAACAAGGTCATGCTGCCTGTTTAGCACATGCTGTAGGTTGGCTGCCCTCCTGCCAACATTCATAGCATTGAAGGCTGCCAAACACTCGACACGCCACACGCATGTGAGCACACTCCGCCCACCATGCGGCGGTTGCATGAGCCAAATATGCTGCATACTTAAAGCTGAGGATCCAGGCGTGCGAGTGCACCATGCTGTAGGCAAATTCTCCACTATGGACTGTACCACCGCTTGCGCAACAGGGCAGTGCCAGTAATGGTGGTCATACCCAGGCATACACGCACCACACAAGCAAGCACGCTGCACGCCCGGCATTCGAGCAGCAGTAGGTACACCATTCAACACCACACGCCAGAACACCTCTTTGATGCGGTTATCCCAGCGCAACTTCCACTGTTTACGCTGCGCAGCGGTCACACTACCAACACCATCCCTAGTCGCTGCTGAATTTGAGTTATTGAGTGCAAGGACCACAAACTGACGTTTCCGAGCCTGCTGCTCAACACGCAAATTACGCAGCTGCAAGGCGGTAGCTGTCTTCACGGACAGCCGCCTGATGGAGCAGGGCTTGCCTGCAGGCAACAAATACCAGCCAAGCCGTGAGACCAGCATGCATTCAACAATTTGTTCTGCCTCAGATGGCACTGCAGGAGCAGAAGGCAGAACAGCTGGCCATCCTGCTCTTGCTGCCTCGCTTGCAGCAGCTTGAGTCCATGCAAGAGGCACATTATACAGCAACAAGTTGAGGTCATCAAACTCGCCCTCAGCATTGCTGCTGTTGCATGGGATCAGAGGGTGGGGCAGTTTGGCTTGTACCACACGTTCAATCACACGATGAGACCTAATCAAATCCCCAAGTGTACGAATGGTGGGCCTGACCTTCCCGCCCGTGTAGTAGAATGCACCTCTAGCCGGCGGAACAGGCAACACATGCAAACCACCCGGCCTAGCACCAGGGATACCCCCAAGCAGGAAACAATTGGCAAAGACAGGGGCCAGAGCACACCAAGGCCCAGGCTGTAGAACCGGGGCACTGGAAAGAACAACCATCTGCTGGCGCAATTGACCCAAACCTGGGGACGGCTGCCCTGGAGGCAGGGGCGGCTGCGTCTGCAATGGCTGCTGCTGCTGCTGCCGCTGCTGCTGCTGCTGCTGCTGCTGCTGTTGCGGCAGCGTTTGCCGCTGCTGTAGCAGCAGCGCTGGCTGCTGTTGCTGTTGTTGCTGTTGTTGTTGCGGTTGCTGCTGCTGCTGCTGCTGCTGCTGTAGCACATCACACACATCCCCCAGTGCTTGCAGCCCAGAGATCATGCGGCGCAAAGGTGGCGGCGGCACCCCAGCCCACTCAGCTGGTGATTGGGTGTCAGCTGCGCAGTCAAAAAGAGCCAGAGGGCCCCACCAACAACACTTGGAGCGCAGGCAAGCTCTGCCAATACACGCAGAAGAAGAAGAAGAGGGGTTACACGGTGTGCACAGGCGACTACGTCGCAACGAACACCCGAAAACAAAGAGAGCTGCTAGAAGTTCAGCGGAAAAACAGACTGTCACCCAAAAGAGGCCCACCCCAAGAAAGCCTCTGTGCGCGAGACACGACACGTGGCTCTGCAGGCAGAACCGTCGGGCTCACAACACGCAGTGTAGAATTTTATTGGGACAAGCAGCATGACTAACCTAAAACAGTGTCGGTGACAGCAGGCCATACTTGTGCAGTATAGCGGGCGGGCTGAACTCAACGCCAATACACGCACTTTGATTGAGGAGAGTTACATGGGTGTGCACGTTGGAAACGGAACACTTCGAGGACACGCACCACCACCTGCTGATTTACGGTTTGAGGGGTTACACGGTGTGCTCAAGCGGCTACGCCACAACGGACACCTGGAATAAAAGGAAGCTGCGTGCAGCTCAACGCAGGCTGTCACTCAAGGAGGCTCAACCCCTAGGAAAGCCTCTGTGTGTGGGGCCAGACATCAGCCGTGCTCAGCACGACCCGTCGTCCCCATCACACGCAAATGTTGTTTGCTTGGAAGTATATGAGCATGCAAGCAGTAGTCTAAGCAGTGTCAGTGACAGCAATCTATACATATTGCAGTACAGGAAGCGGGCTGAGCTGATGAGCATGATGCTGACTCAAGGGCAGATCAGACTCAAAGCAGCAGTGAGGAAAGAAACAGCTGAAAGCTGGCCAGCTGCTGAGGTTTTGTCATGGCTGCATATCTCAACAGGCATGCAGTGACCCCACATACACCCACTCTAGAGTGGGGCTGGTGGCTTCCAAGAGATAGGCAGGGAGAACGCAGCAACACACATATGCATGCCCGTGCAAATCACCTGCGGACTACACGTAAGCCATTGCCGCGCAGCACAGTGTGCCACGCAAGGAACGGCTGCCGCGTAAGTAGCTGAACTCTGTGACGACCAGGCACCCTAGCTGTAGCAGCAAAGTCAGCAAGTGCATCCCAAAAGCCGCCAACTGCCGCTCGTATCGCCACTTGCTCAACAAGCACAGGTACACCAAGCCGACAAGAGACCGCCCAGGCTACCCTGCGGCCATGTTCGCATGCATGTATCGCTGCCAAACATACCATGTCCCATACAAGGCGGTGCACATCACGGTGAGGGGCACATGCCAACCACAAAGCCCTGCAGGGCAGGTTTTCACCCGCCGTGAGCAGGTTAAAAGCTCTAAGTTGACGCTCCACCTCTTTTCGCACGGCAACAGCCACCGGACATAGCCAGAAATGATGCTCCACACCTGGCCCAGCAGCTAAGCAAGCTGCACACCCCGTAGTCAGCTGCATACTCTGCGCAGTGGGGAAGGCATTTAAAGTCAGGCGCCAGGCTGCTTCTTTGTAGGTGTTAGCCACTCTAACGCCCCACCAGCGGGATAACACCAGTTGCACAACAGGCTGCTGGGCCCCGGCAGGAGTGTCATCCAACATTCTAACACTGTTCAGAAAAGCAGCATGACGGGGAGCAATAGCATCAAGCGCAGAGATACGTTGAAGCTTAGTGGCAGTGGCAACGGTGAGGTCGGCCAATCGAATGACATTTTCTGCACTGCCGCTTGGTCGCTGCCAGCCTAAATCAGCACACAACGTTTCACGCGCCAAAAGGAGGTCATCAGGGGTGACAATAGAAATTTGTGCTGCGCTGTCACCAGCAGCATAAGCTGCTGCTAGGTGAGCACGCGCAGCTGCAACCCACACTTGGGGAACCAGAGCTAGCAAGGCCTGCAGATGCTGACGGGCTAGCTGCCTGTCAGCATATTGCGGCTTGTTGCACAACCAAGGGCCCCAGATGTCACGCTGGCAGTCTCTGTCATCCTGCCATCCACTGGAGGCCGCCCAGCTGTGAGCTTGGGACCTGCTGGCAGACTGAACTCAGGGCTCGCTAGCATAATGGTAGTGCATCCGACTCCAGATCGGAAGGTTACAGGTTCGATTCCTGTGCGGGTCAATTTAGGGGCTGTCCGCCCAGCTGTCGTGCGCCTAGAGGCTGCGGATGCGTTCACTGTGTGGGGATCGGAAGGTTACAGGTTCGATCCCTGTGCGGGTCAATTTAGGGGCTGTCCGCCCAGCTGTCGTGCGCCTAGAGGCTGCGGACGCGCTCATGGGTGGGGAAGCGGCGGTTACACCCTGAGTTTTGCTGCAGCGTGCCCGATCCTCGCGGGCAATTTTGCTGTGTCGCATGCAGTAGCCACAACACATTTTGCGACATATGTTCTCTATTTCATATGATCATCTTTAAATCTCAGGTTATTCTAAGTGGCAGCACTTGTGCGGACTGAACTTCAACCTCACCTGCATCCAAGATGTTTGGGTAGCTGACCTGTGCCAGGCGAGCCACCAGGCTACGTGCACACTGCGGCGGGAACGGCATGCCGCCACAGCTAGGGGAGCCCCTTTACAGCAGCAGCAGCAGCAGCAGCAGCAGCAGCAGGTTTGTTCCTACTCCAAGGGAGCACCCAGCTGCAGCAGTGTGAAAGGCTTTTGTCACAGGCAGCAAGGCGTGCAAGATGCAGCAAAGCACAGTACGAGATGTCATGATGTTTGGCACCACCCAAATTGACCAGTTGTGCTGCGCAGCAACAAACTCGGGTACCCGCCGCGGCACGCCTGCAGAGCTGCCCACGTGCATCAAGCCTTTCCCACTTTCTGCCTTGAAGGGATTAAGCAACCTGCAGCACACTGTTCAACGCCCAGCCCAGGCCAAAGAACCCGAAACTGCCATCAGCAGGATTTGAACTGGCGCCCACCTGAAGAAGGCCTTGTTCTTCTTGGCGGCCCAGGGCGCGTGCCTGTGCACCACCTCAGCATCGGCGCGGCGCATCACGGGGCCCAGCAGGTCTGCCATGTTCACCTCCTTGCTCAGGCTGATCACAGGGGCGGCACACTCGCCTGCGACGACAGCAGCAGGCAGGCATCCAGCGTGCGTCAGGCGCCAACACGTGGGGGATGTGTACGTTTTCTGGAGCCCTCCCGCACATCCTACAAGTCTTCTCGCTCTCCGTTGTCAGCTATGTTTGACATCCCTGCTGTGCATGATCGCAGCAGCACTGCAAGACCGCATCAGCATGCAAGGGCGCGCAACAGCCACACACAAACCGTCACAACCAGTCTGCCGCCAGTGCGTGCCAGCCACTGGAGCCGCCCGTGCAGTGTGCACCAGATGATGTCATGAAAAGGGCAAAGACGGGTTACGTTTTCACCTCCGCAGTGAGGCCCAACCCTTCCCACATCATCCACTGAGCTGGCAGACTACTACAAGGAGGTGTGGGCTGCGATATGTTCAGCACAAGGCATGCTGCAGCGACTTCAAACGGTTGCCTAAAAAGGGTTTCAATGGTGTCGCCCCCCCCCCCAACACGCCATCCTCAGCTACACAGCAGCCACCACCAACCACACGCGGCAGCCATGAGCCACGTAGCGACTCCGCAGTGCGGCTGCAGCCTCAGCAGCAGCCCCTCACGTGTCATGGCCTGCTCCCTGTTGCACACCGGCGCGTCGTCAGTGTTGAGCAGGAGCAGCACGTCCGGCAGGTCCAGCCTGAAGATGTCCACTGCTGCTCGCATCGCGCGCACAAAGTCGGCCAGCTGGGATCGCACCTGCAGCAGCAAGCAGGGCTGAGACGATGCGAGGCGGCGCATGGCACCACAGCACTGCTGCTCAGAGCAGCACAGCAGCAACTGCGGCAGAGGCGTCACATGCAGCAGACAGCAGTGAATAATACAATGCTGGCAGCAGGCCCCTAGGAAGCACCTGCAACCTGGGATGGTTGCCGGCTTCCAGCAAAACCCCTCGGTGCCTGCATGGAACCCCATGCCACAGCCATCCAGCCTCACCCCTCATCACAGTCGGTCTGTAGTGGCCCAGGCGGCATCAGGGGGAAGCGCAGCACATTGCTGCGGATCTCCACCAGCCGCCTCGTGTTGGGGAGCTGCAAGGGCACCATGAAGCAGCAAGACGTGCCGTGAGGGGCTCCATACAACGCTTCATGCGCTGAAACGCATCGGCTGTGCAGCAAACATCCTGGAGACGCTGCGAGCTGCTAGGCGGTGTCATTTCTCCTCGCACAGCCTGTGCATGATGCCTTGCCGCGGTGCAACAGCCATAACGTTCCATGTGATGTTTTGGCTGCGGCAAATGTGAAAACTCTGAGTCAATAAGCCAGATGGTAATCAACACAAAAGGCGGTTCCAGCTGCTCAAGCAAGAGATACATTACAACAGGAACAGACCCATGTTGAAACGCAGCCACCACCTGCGGCGGTGTCGTACATCAACCGGCCATCTCAGGTGATCGACCCAGGTGTCACCTGTGCGATCATGGGGTTGTTCCGTGCCTGGTCAAACAAGTCGTTTACGCTGGGCACATACTCCAGCTGCTGCCAGAACAGCAGGTCAGGCTCCAGGTTGTCCCTGGATTGACAAGAGGTGGATGGTAGGTGATGAAGGGCTCGATAGTTGCACGACACAGGGAAGTGTAACAAAGCAGGCGGAGGAGAGGCAGCAGTGGTGGCAGTTGAGTGGGCGGGTGAGCCCTGCTCAGATCGAGGCTTGGGCTCGAGGTGTGTCGCGCCAAGACGCCGCCAGCGGCAGATGCAACAGCACAAATGCATTTAGGGCCGTTCACGTGCACGGAGCAGCAGGTTTGCAACTGCAGGTGTAGCTTGGTGCCTCATGCAGCAACTTCTGCCTACGAGTTGACAGCTGCGTCGCTCCTGCTGTGCTGCTGCTGCTGCACAACATTCACCTGTTGACGACAATTATCCATGCTATGTCCCTTGATGGGGAGCGTAGCCCTGCAACACTGCTGCGCACTTCCACTGTTGACGACAAGCATCCCATGCTACGGCCCTTGATGGGGACGTAGGCCAGCAACACTGCTGCTGCTGCTGCTCACCTGATGATTTGAGTCATGTTCACGCTGTCCCAGGGCTGTGGAAGTTGCATCTGCAGCATGTGGGAAAAGTGGTGGGCGTGTGTGGCGTTGCTGCTGCTGGCATTGACTGCCCCAGGCCCTGAACTGCCTGCAGCACACCACAGAGCGGACACCTATTTGTCAGCCTAGTAGGTGCAGGGATGTAACAGCTTGCCCTTCTGTTACTTGCATAGACGCATCCATGCGGCATCACACCCAATTTAAAGCCTCGAGTGCGACACGTTAGTCCTGCATACATCAGGTGATGCAGTGCTGCTTGCAATGTGCATCTGCTGTGCTCCTCTTCACAAGCATGGCCCCACCACAGGTGCTGCTGATGATGATGCTGCTGACGGGAGTATAGGCTCACCTGCATCACGACATGGCATTCCTACGCGTTGCCTGCTGCAACAAAGCGGTGTTGCAAACTCCATAACAAATGACCAAACAAGCTGCTGCTTCTGCTGCTGCTGCTGCTGCTGCTTCTATGTGACACAGAGATATGTTGACCCGTAGAGATTGTGTGTTTGTTTGCTCACCTGCTTCGCTTATGAAGCCAAGCCAAGGTGGGCGCCAGTGCTGCTGCTGCTGCTGCTGCTGCACAAAACCTGCTGCATAGCCAGCTGCTGAGGATGCTAACTGTGCAAGGCCAGACAGCATGCTGAATCCTGGTGCAAATGTGTACTCTGCTCCAATGAAGGGGTCATCATCATCAACAAGCTGCAGCAGGTCCCCTGTCGACTGTTTGAGGGATCTTCTACTAACACTGGTTGCACTACTGCTGCTGCTGCTGCTGCTGCTGCTGCTGCTGCTGGTACTGATGCTGGTGCTTGTGCTTGCGCTTGTGCTGGTGCTGGTGCTGGTGCTGGCTCTGCTGCTGATGCTGGTGCTGTTGATGGCATTACGGCTGTGAACTGCAGTGTTAACAATAACGCTGCTGCTGTGGTTGTTGCCGCTGATGTGTAGCGATGGCACGGCTTCCCAATTGCCCAAGCTGCCGCTGCTGCTGAATGCCTGAAGCTCTGCAGCATGGCAGAATGCATGCAAGCATGCAGAGTATGAGGCGTCACAGCAGGCAGAGGACCTGCATGCAGCTCAGCACTGCCTGCACAAAGGGTACTGCCGCTTTGCTTTGCAACATCGTGAGTCCATGTTGCAAGCCAACATCGAGAAGCGAAGCACGCTGCTGGTCCACTGCAGCTGTGTTATGCATGATGCAGGCTACCAGACGCTGCAGGTGTACGGCAAGCTAGGGATTGCACGCAGTGCAACTGCATGTTTTCTACACATGTAATGTAGTACATTGCTGCTACACTGCTCAATGCCAGCACAGCACCTGAACGTGCGTTGCCTGCTGCACAGGCCTGCACCGCTAGCATAAATGCTACAATACAGCACTGCTTGCTTCGTAAGCTGTGGCAAGCTACCATGGTCCAATGGGGTCATTGCATCAGCAGCATAATGAGAGGCTTGCTGAACACTTTGGGCTCAGATGCGATGCTTCGAAGCTCTGCTTCAAATGAACAAAATGCGTGTAATAGTGTTGCAGCTTCAGGTAGACGGTAAAGAAG